TTGTTTCTACTAGTCTATTATGAATAAGTTGCTTTGTACAGACACTTTTTTGTGTGGTTTTTTCAAGACAGGGCTTCTCTGTGTAGCTCTGTAGACCAGGCTGGCCTCTAACTCACAGAGATCCGCCTGCCTCTGCCTCCTGAGTGCTGGGAGTAAAGGTGTATGCCGCCACTGCCTGGCTTGTACACACACTTTTATACAGATCTTTTGGTAGACATAAACACTTATTTTTTCTTGGCTTGGACAACAGATTGCTAGGCCACAAAGATTTGTGTTCAGTTTCAGAAGATAATGCTACATAATGCTAGATTTTGAAAGTATCAATTACTTATCAACAGTGTTTGAGAATTCACATAAAAATATATTGACACTTTATAAGATGGGGGGCTCACTATGTTACCCAGACTGGCCTTGAACTTCTGGACTCAAACCATCCTCCTGTGTTAGCCTCCTGAATAGTGGGACTAAAGGCATGGGCTAACATGCCTGGAAATAACTTTGGAGGTGGGGATGGTACTAGGAATTAAATTCAGGGCCTCACACATAGAAAGCACATGATTTACTACTAAAGTCCATCAATATCAAGTTTTTCATTTAAGAAAGCTCTTGAATTGAAGCACAATAGCTTTGAGGCTGTTCTTTGTACTGAGTAACACAGAGTGCTCAGAACTCACACAGGGGGTGGGGGGGAGGACACACACACACACACACACACACACACACACACACACACACACACGACGACACACTTTTCTATTTGAATTTTTATTCTTTTATCTAAAAAATCAATTTCACTATCAAAATTGACATTAATGGCATTACCTTGGGCTTACTGTGATTTACTGCCATTTGTGATAGCTTGGTTGAAAAGAATGATGGAATATTTAATTCAACTAGCTTTCACCAAGCAGACAAATGACTAAAAAAGTTCTACACAGGTAATACTAATGAATACAAGCACACAACTTTAAAAATAGTGCAACTGGCATGTGTAATCTAAAAAACAAATCAAAACCTCTTTAGAAGATTAAAAGTTATGGCCACCTGATCAATTGGGTTCCACAAGGAGCAAGCCAAAAATATTCTAAAAACTGAGGCTTAAAAATAAGGATTTGAAGAAGGGGAGAGCGGGAGTGGAGTGGAGGGGTTTGGTGGGGGCAGGAGAGGAGGGTAGGGAGAGGGAGCTGGGACTGACATGTGAAGCAAGCTTGTTTCCAATTTAAATATACAATAAAAAAAAGAATACCAACAATTTGGAAAAAATAAGGATTTAATAATACATTACTGTTACTGTCTTGACAATAAAAGATTTGAACTATAAAATATCCTTATCTCATGTCATCTCCTTTGGATCATTTTATTTTATAATATACACAGTAGCAGTATACAATAAGAGGCACACAAAATTTTAAGGTCAATTTACAGATATGAGGGCTGCATGCTGAAATTGTGGCAACAGGATACTCAATCAAAAGGGTTCAGAGCCTTGTTTAGTGCACGTTTTCTTAGTATTAAGCTACCAAATCCTCATGCACAAATGAACTTACAGTTTTTAACGCCATATACAATAGTCCACAGAAATATCTAGCTGCCGTTAATGTTAAAATAACACAGGCAAACAATAGGAGAGAAGGGAAGAAGCCAGGAATCAGTCAGGAAGAGACACAAGAGAAATTTCCTAGTTACGGGTACTAGTCTATAGCTTGGTAGGCATTTTTTATTGTATCTGTGAGTATATTAGCCAAATTTGGTGAATGGACATTTAAGTTTCCTTCTGTGTAAATTTTATCATATTAAAAAAAATAAAGATTCATTAAATATGCTGACCTCTAATTAATGACAAGCATATGTAACCAAGAGTAAATTATAATAATGTCTGTAACTTACTTTGAAATATATCAAATAGACTGCTGTATAGATAGAAGGATTGATATATGAACAGATATGTGATAAAATACAGCATAATTAATAAAAAAGCTAGGAGAAAGATACATGGATGTTCACAGAGTAATTGAACATCTCTGCAGTTTTTCATGGTAAAATACTGAGAAAATTGGCCGGGCGTTGGTGGCGCACGCCTTTAATCCCAGCACTCGGGAGGCAGAGGCAGGCGGATCTCTGTGAGTTCGAGGCCAGCCTGGTCTACAAAGTGAGTTCCAGGACAGCCTCCCAAGCCACAGAGAAACCCTGTCTCGAAAAACAAAAACAAAAACAAAAACAAAATACTGAGAAAATTAACACATCTACTAAAGACCTACAAACTGACAGATACTAACTTAAAATGACATAATGGTACAATGTAAGTTATAAATTTATAATGGAAAAAGTAGGAATATTAAGCACATTGCTTTGGGATATAGTAGTTCCTTATCCTCAGGGTATGTTTCAAGATTCACAGTGGATGCCTAAAATGGAGACAGTACCATAGCCTATAAACATTGGTTTCTTTCTCCTGAAATACACATAACTATGAGAAAGTTAAACTTACAAATTAGGCAAAGAGATTAACAACAGAGAAAATTAAAACAATACATTGTAAAAAGAAGTTATTTGATAGTCTTTTCCTATCTCCCATATATAGCACTACACTGTGCTTTTGAACTGTGGGAAAAGAAAGCACAGATAAAGGAGACTAATAAACTCTTTATGTAATGAAAATTTTTCTTATTTTACAGACTAAACTGAAATTCAGGAAGATTATAGAAGTATAGCCAGACATTAAGTGTCAAGGCCAGGCAAGAGGGGAATCCAACTTTTCCCAAAGTTCTGGGTCCTCTTGACACACATCTCTCACAAGGTGCCCCCCTGAACAAACATCTTCCTCACAAGCAAGGGCACTGTTCCTGTCAGACCAGCTCTGACTTTCAGAAGCTCCATCTTGCTACACCAAGCTTTTCTTCCCACCTTGGGTGCAATTCTTTGGGATCTCATGTACTGCAATCCCCACATTACTACATTTCATACGACGTGAAAGAAAGTATTGGAAATGCAAGTTTTCCAGCTAGTATTTTAAAATACCAATTGACAGTTTTAAGTAGGTGTAAGTAGGATAATGCTGCAAAAAATTGAGATGAGAACATATGTAATCAAGCATATGTAATCAAGAGTAGGACCTCAAAATATCTTTTTCTCCCAACCTTTACCTTTCCTTAGAATGCAAAATGTTGCCTATTATAAAATAATTTCCATAGCCTTAGAACCCTCCCTTAAAGTTAAATGTGAACACACAGAGATTTTTTCTGCCATGCATCATTTTAAATCTGAAAGCCTAGTGGGCTTTTGCTTTCTCATTTCCTTTTTTATCTTGGTTTGGAATTCTACCAGGAATGCTTTTATACAACTAGATACACAACTAGAAGCACTTTCGTTTCACAAATTACCACAGGTGGCCAACCTGTGAGAGCACTGTGTTAATGAGATCCTAAGCATTTATTTTTTAGTTTTTGGACCATCAGAAGATACTTTCCAAAGGCAAGATTGTAAGGAATCACGGTGACCTTTCACTTTCTTCCAGCATGCACCTACAACCTCAAAGCGGTATTTCTTACTTGACAAGCACACAGAGGGGCTCCCTAAAACATTCCTAAAGTCACAAATCTTGCCCTTGTAAGTATTATATACTATTTTGTAACAAAACGGCAACCAGTAATTCTACCTCGCCTTATTTAAGGACTCAAGAGTTCATACATGAAGAACTTCTCACAGCCTCATGGAGACTGAGTGAGGCTGTTTTTTCCTCTCGATGCCTGAGGTTGTTAGTGTTGGGAGGACCTGGAGGAGGTTGTTTTACAGCTGCAGAAACGGACGTGTAGGCAGTTAAAATGACTACTTCCTAACAGTGCCTGAACCACACACCAGATCCCCTAAATTTCCAGCCCAGTGTCCTTCCCATTTTAAAACCATGCCAAAACAAACGTTTACAAAAATGACTGTGTCCATCCATTACCTCAACTTCACTAAAACGCAGCCTGCCCCTCTTGATGTCACTTCCTCTTGTGTGTTTTCCCCTTGGTCTTGTTATCTTCACTTCATTACCACACAACACTTGAATTCGCACGCCCAATTTCTGGCTATTTTGGTTCCTCAAGGATACCAACACTGTGTCCAAAATGCCCTGACTATCCTTTAGCTATATTTATCTCAGGCAGCCAATTGCCAACTATTACAAAATTAAGGGTAAACGTGATTTATTTCTAAAACATAAAGCGCGCACACACCCGGTAGTGCTTCTTCCTCTGGGAGCGTAATAAAAATACCCAATTCCAGGTATTAAATGCAGATGCTTTCTAGAGAAAACGCAGCGATAGCCTTGCTATTTAGGAAGAGAGGTGTCGTGGGCTGCGGTTCGAGGCCAAGAATAAGGGTCAGACACTGACCTAAAACAAATATGGAGGTGAAGAGGCACAAGGAGCTTCTTGAACTCACCAGCCTGTGACAGGCTATTTGATGTCAGTTTCTAGGAACGAGGGGCACCAGGGAGGCACATGGACAATGAGAGGGCAGGCGGGGCACAGGAAAAACTCAACAAGTCCGGCAGGTAAAGGACGCACTGAGGCAGAAGATGCTGCCACGAGGCTCCCGCTGGCCTCTGCTCGACCACCAGCCCCTTTCCAGGACAGACCCCCACGGCTGTCGCCGGCTGGGGGACAGCCTTTTGCTCCCCTACCTGCCTCGACGTCTACCCAGGACCGTGCTGGGAGCCGGCGCCTCCACCCCGGGGCCCGCTTCCCGGTCAGGATGGCGACGTCGGGCCTGTCCGGCCGGACTCGCCTTCGAAAGTGGGCGTCAGGATGGCCGCCGAGCGGGCGAGGGCGCAGCCGGAGCCCTCGCCTCGGGCCCGAGCCCGGGGCGTAGCGGGGCTCGCGGCTCGCGGCTCGGCCCAGGCGGCGGCCGGCCGTGTGGCGGGCTCGCGCCGAGGTGATGGGGAAAGGGGGCGGGCGCGCCATCATGAAGGGAAAATGGTGGGCGGGCGGGCCCGCGCGCGCGGCCGCCGTACTCACCCGGGCGGGCCAGTGCGGGTAGCCCTTCATCTTGGCGAAAACCAGGTCTCCCGCTTTGTACTCGCGGGGCCGCGGACGCGCCATCCCTGTCGTTCCCTTGCCCGCTCGTCCTTGGTCGCCGCGAAGATGCCGGGAGGCCGCCCGCTCCCTGCGCGGGCCGACGGACCGCGCCGCGCTCCCCGCGGGCCTCGAGCGGCCGCTCCGACGAGAGAAAGCGGCGAGGCAGCGGTGTGTGCGTGCGTGTGTGGTGTGTGTGCGTGTGGCGGGGGGACCGCAGGCCCCGCAGATCCCCGCCCGGCTGCGGGGGAGGGGAGCACGCGTCCGGCCGCACCGAGTCCTGCTGCTGCCGCTGCCGCCGCCGCCGCGTGCAGCTCACAGGAGCCGCGTCGCCAGCCTCATGCCGCCTCCCCGCCGAGCTTTCTGGCTTCCGTGCGAGCTCCGGGCCTCGCGCCTCCTCCGAATTCCTCCTCGGGCAGCGACCGCAAACACGATCTTATTATTGTTCTCGCGCGCGCTCAGCATCCCCCCCCCCTCCACTCTCCCGCCCCGCTTCCCTCCCCCTTGCGCGCCGGCCGGTTAATTCCTAGGTGCACGGCCGGCTTTCGGGGAGAAACCGCGCGCGCTGCCCGGCTCGCTCGGCAGCGAGCTTGGTGGTGGGCGCGTCTTCCCGCAGCAGCGAAGCCGGTGCCCGGAGGGTGGGAGCGCCTACTCCGAGGACGCCCGCCGCCTGCTCTCTTTTGTTCTTGGCCCGGAGCTGACTGGCGTAGCCCAGCCAATCACTACCCCGCTGTCCCTCTTCCCTCCGGCCCGCGCCCACCCCCCACGGACTGCATCCCCCCCCTCCCGGCTGCCCCCCACACACTGGCCACTTCTGCGAGTGTTCTCTGGTGAGTGGGGGGGACAAAGGCGCCCCAGGCATGGGGTGGCCGTGTAAGGGACTCTGCCTGGTCACTAGGCTGCTGGAAAGCGTAAGCGACCTCCTTAGGTTCCAGCCCCAGGTCTGCCTTAACAATGCAGTGTGACCCACCTAGGGCGAGCTGCTTCACTGGAGTCAAGGCCGGTCCTCATCGACAGGATGACACAGTCAGGTTTTGAAGATGGACCTATGGCCCATTGCCCATCGCCGTTACACTTCTCTGTGTGGGGGCTTCAGGGGCCAACAGTTTGGGGTAAAAGGACCTTAGCCTGACAAGTCACTTGTTTTCGAATCTGGCAACACGCTCAGCAGCTTCTGGTGATTTCTTTATACGGGTCAGTAGGTCTAGAACACCGTTTTATTTGGAAATCAGCTGACAGCTTTCAAAGATATTTTGGGAGCGAGAACCTTTATATCATCCTCCTTTGTAAGAGGTAAATAAAATAATTCCCTCTTTCCTGAATTTGCCTGATGAATGAATGAATGAACGCTGCCTCTCCCCCATGAACATACCTACTTCAGAAGGCCCTCTGGTGCTGTTGCAGACTACCCTCTTTGCCCTTCCTCCCCTCTATAGGAGGGGCTTTCCCAAGCCTCTGCTTCACTCGCCTGCGCTGTAGAATTGTTTTAACAGAGCCTTGGTGACCAGCTTCCAGCGACCGGGGCTGTAGAGTCTGTAGACTTTCTGTCTGGAGTGTTTACTTTGTTCACTTGGCCATATCTTTACTAGTGCGTTTCCTTTTTGTATCTCTTCCCACATTCCCCACCCCCAGCCCCGGACCTCACTCTTTCTATAGGCCCACATTCTCTTCCACTGCAGGTTAGTCTAGGTCTTTTGCCTTGGCTGTGATGGCCTGATGATGTGCTTGTCACTTCTAGAAATCACGTCACACCCATCACAGGTACCTGTAGAGTGTTTCCTAGACTCTTTTTGCCAAAGCCACATCTCTGTGATAGGCCACCAAAGCCCTAACTGTCCAAAGCCAGAATGGTCCAGGCTCCCAGTGGGCTCAGGGTGGTCGTGAGTAAGAGGAGAGAATTGAGAGGAGTTACTAGTGTGAAAGTTGGGAAGTAACATGACCATAGTTGGCTTAGTCCTCGGGAGTTCAGGATAGAGGTGGATCTATGGGTGAGGCTGGACCAGGACCCTCCCCGAGGGACTCTGAACAGGAGAGAGAAGACATGGTCTCAGACATCTTGCTGACTCATGAGTGGCAAGTAGGAAGAATGGGGACTAAAATGTGATCCCTCGGTTTCTAGATGAAGTGACAGGATTATCAGCACTGGGGGAGATTAGGAAGTCTGTGAAGAACGGGCAGCTTTGCAGAGAAGACCATGAATGAGTTTTGGATGTGTTGTGATTTCTGTGGGTCATGTTTGGTGGGCTGTTGGTAGAGATTTGAATGATATCAGTGCACAATGGTGGCTGAAGCCAAGGCATAGTCCAAGACCATGCAGAATGAGAGCCACAGCTGCCAAGTTTGGAGACAGGTCACCAAAAGTTGGGGTCAAGAAGAAGAAAGATACTCAGTGTCATAGGATCCAGGGAGTTAAAGCATTTCCTGAAGAAAGGAAATGTCTAAGTAGATGGCAGAGAGAGGATAAGTGAGTGGCTGGAGGAGGGGAGGAGATGGGCCCATTTATTATGCTGACTGGGAAGTCATTGGTGACCTTTTGGAAACTGTTTGAATAGAAGTGGGAAGAAACCAGACTTGAAGTGCGTCAGAGGCAAAAATGGGGAAGCAGAAAGTATAGACAGCTCATTTTCACTAAATAAATACATCAGGTTCTAATAAACACTAAATCAACACCAGTGGAGGAAAGACACCAAGAACGCAGGGAGGAGGACTGTTCTGTATGGTGTTTGGCTAGTTTTTCAAGACAGGACAAATTGGAGTTTGTAAATGGGGATGCAGCTGGCCAAGCAGTCAGAGGCAATGTAAAAGGGGGTAAGTGATAGATCGTTGGTCATTTTGAGAAGGCAGACATTTCTCCCAGTCTTTTGGTTTTTTGTTTTCAATGGAGCCTGGCCTTACTGCTCGGCACATATCATTGGCCCGACTCTCATGCCCTAACAAAGCCAGACTTAGTGACACAAAAGCTGGGGCTCTCCTTACGGGGTGTCTTTGGATGATCATCAGGACTGCCACGATGTGCCTGGCTAAGAGCAGGGGAGGAAACACTGCCCTGCAGTTTTCACTGAGGGCCTGACTAGTCTCTCCACTTTATACAAAGGACTGGTGCTGTGGAAATGCTCTATCCAAGTACTTAACAGATAGCATGAAACTCTCCAGAGGTATCATTAGGACCATACAGAAAGAACCTGATGTATGTATTTAGTCAGTGTGGTCCCAGAAGTTGGTCTGTTTGCTGTATTAGCACTTTCAAGGCAGAGGCAGGAGAATCAAAAGTTTAAAGCCACTCTCAGGTACAAAATGAGTGTGCGTCACAAAACTCAGGCTTGATACTAGCTAACATTTAAATTAGCCCCTGTTCCTTATCTACCCCGTCATGTGGCTCATAGCTTGTTACCTCATTTTCTACATATCCTGCTTCCACTGCATCTGCTGGCATCTCCAGACGCCATCCTTCTAGCTCCCAGCATTATCCGCTTGGCTCTGCTGCCTAACCTTATCCTGTCCAGTCAGCTTGTTTACTAAACCAGTAGCAGCGACAAATACTCCACACAGTCTAACCTGGGTTATATAAGACCATATCTAACAACAACAACAAAAGCACATTAATTTTATTTCTGAAACTTGGAGGAAATCCATTTTAAAAATTTTAACAGTATCCATGTTCTTTGATCACTTTTAATTTCGGTATTCTGAAATCTCCCTGGGATAATACTCCTCTCTGTCTCTGGCTCCATGGTTTATTTTTTTGCAGTCCTATGTCACTCTTATCCATCCATGCATTTTGTTGAGTTGATTCTGTTTTCTGTTTTCACCTTCTCCTTCATATCTTGAGTTAGCACCCACTAAAGTTCCAATTGTTCCTTTACATCCTGCCCTTAAATTCACCCATTCCAATTACTCAAAATCTATTCCTTTGCCTGAAATTATGTGTGAAGTGGAATATATATGTACGTACATATGTACGTACGTGTGTGTGTGTGTGTGTGTGTGTGCTGAGCATACAGTAACTGCTCATTAATTGTTAACATGGCAAGAGTTGAAAGTAGCTGAAAAGGGATTCTGGGAAAGGCGGGCCAAATCTAGCATACACAGTCACTATGTTAGATAAGAGCACTTGTGACCTCTCCTGAGCCCATTTCAACTGGTTTTGCTCTTTGAAGCATCTCTTGAATACCTGCAATGCAATCCCAAGGTCTTACCATCCTTGAGAGAGAACGGACTTACAGACACTGACATCTTCTTGGAAGTCATTAGCTAACCGCTGTGAGAGCGTCCTCATCAAGTGTGCACTGGTGCAGTGTCAGGTGGGTAGAAGGCACCATAAAGCCTACAAGGGCTAGAACTGGAGAGATCGGGACCAGGCAGCATTGGCAGAGTGGGGATGGGTAATATAATCAACCACATGGAGGCCAGAAAGTAGAGAAGCAGAGGATGCTCTTACAATAGTGTAGGGCATAGTACTGACTGAGATTATTGCGGGTCTGGGGAAATCTGAGTCTGAGCTTAAAACCTATGTCATTGAGGCCATTTCCACTCTTCCTCCTTCACTGTCCTGTTCCAGACTGAGGAAGAAAGTGATGGGGAAGTCCTGTGTATATGTCAATAAAGCACTGTTGGCCAATAGGGAAGCAAGATAGATGGGACTAGGAGTCCAGGAGGACTCTGGGGAGGAGAAACACAGAGAGTCACGATGTAGTTGCCATAGGGGTAAGAAATCTAGACCCTTTCTCCTGTAAGAGAAATACTTAGATTAACAATTATGGAGTAAATACTTCAGTCAGAGATAGCCAGTAAGAAACAAGCAAGGCCAACAGCTTCATAACTAATACAGCGTCTTGTGTGTTACTTGGGGACTACAACATGCAGAGCCCAGGCAACTGGTGAGGAAAAACCAAAGCGGCTGGCAAGGAAAAGGCTTCACTCAACAAGAAAGTGGAAAGGTTTAATGAGTTTGTTGCTACTTGAAAAGATCTGAGATGTAGAGCATATTAAATGCTCAAAGAATCTGCAAAATTTCCTGTAATTTTTGTTTGTGTTGTTCTAATGTTGGTGTGCATGGTGCTGAAGAAAGCATTATATCAATATTAGTACACATTCATTTATTCAGTGAATATTTGTTGAATTCTGGTGGGCATCAGTCATTTGTCTAGAGACCCAGGACCACTGAGAGCAAAGAGTCATGGTGCCAGATGCAAAGCCATTAAGTAGTGGTAAAGGATTCTGGGGATGTGGAATGAAGGATGTAAAGGAAACGATGTTTTCATAGCTCTAGGCCTATTGCTTTCTCTTTTAATCCTCTTAGAGTCCCAATACCATGTCAAGAATTGTGACTGTTTTGCTGGTGTGGAAAGGGAGTGGGGCATATGGAGAGAGACAGTGTCCATGACTGTCAACTTGACACAACCTAATGAGTCACCTGAGAAAGGAGTCTCAATTGATGGACTGC